AGCTCACAGACTGGTACACAACATACACATAGTTTATATCACAACTAACATGGACCAGAGTACAGGGTGTGTCCCGGATCTAACCTACACCTGTGTACACGTTACATATGCGTGATGCATCCTTGCAATAAGCCTCATAGGATACATTTGATGTAGATTTTGGTCATCCCTATCAACACCAACAGCAAAATGACATTTATAGAGCGCCTTTCATGTCGGGAGGACGTCCTAAGGCGCTGAAGAGTCAGGTGTCGGAGCCTGAGGATGGGGGAGGGGTGGGGGAGGGGTGAGGGAAGGCAGAGAGGTGGGAGGGCGACTGAAGGCACGATCGAAGAGGAGACCGGCCTTGAAGGAGGCAAGGGAGGAAGCGAGGAGAAGGGACTGTGGGATGGAGTTCCAGAGTGTGGGGGCAGAGAGGCTGAAAGTCCGGCCACCAATGGTAGGGCGTGAGACATGGAGCAGCCAGAGCCCACTGAACGGAGGGAGCGGGCAGATTGGTAGGGAGTCAGCAGGTCAGAGAGGTTAGGAGGGGGCAAGGCCATGGATGACCTTGAAAGTGAGGACGAGGATCTTGAACTCGATCCTCTGGGGGATGGGGAGCCAGTGGAGTCGGGCGAGGTTGGGAGTGATGGGGTTGGGGAGCCTGGCGCGTGAGAGGACACGAGCTGCAGAGTTTTGGATGATGTGCAGCTTGTGAAGGGAAGAGTTGGGAAGGCCGATGAGGAGGGAGTTTCCATAATCGAGCCTTGATGTGACGAAGGTGTGGGTGAGGGTTCGGCAGCCTGAGGGGTGAGGCAATGGCGGAGTCTGGCAATGTTGCGGAGGTGGTGGTAGGCAGTGCCGGTCATGGCGCGGATGTGGAGGAGAAAGGACAGTTCGGGGTCAAACAAGACACCCAGGTTCTTGACTGACTTAGTGAGGTTAGTGTACAGCCGTGGAGGCTGATGCTGCCAACGCCTGAGGTGCGGAGGCAATCAGGAGGGCCTCTGTCTTACTGACGTTGAGTTGGAGAAAGTTGGCCCTCGTCCAGGACTTAATGTCGGACAGACAGTCGGTCAGGACACCAGTTGTCCTGGGGTTGAGGGTGGAGGCAGAGAGATAGATTTGGGTGTCATCCACATACATGTGGAAATTTAACCCATGTTTGTGGATGATGTTACCAAGTGGGAGCATGTAGAGGGTGAAGAGGAGGGGACCGAGGACAGAGCCCTGAGGAACACCGCACGAGACGGTGCGGGGGCTGGAGAAGCCGTTCGCTGAGACGAAGTGGAGGTAGGACCTGAACCAGTCAAGGACAGAACCTTGAAAGTTGAGATGGGAGGAGAGGCGGTGGAGGAGGATTGAGTGGTCCACAGTATCAAAGGCGGCGGAGAGGACAAGGAGACAGAAGGAGCCCTGGTCACATATGGTCAAGATGTCGTTTGTGACCTTGACCAGAGCAGTTTACGAGTGGAAGCGCTCATGGAGGGAATGGGAGGAAAGAGCGAAGCTGAGAGGCAACGGCTCTGTCAAGGACCTTGGACAGAAAAGGGGGGTGGGAGATGGGCCGGTAGCTGGATAGCTGTGATGGATCAAAGGAAGGTTTCTTCAAGGTGGGAGTGATAGTGGCTGTTTTGAGGGGGTGTAAGGAACAGTGCCAGATGACAGGGAGAGGTTGATGATGTCGGCGAGTAGTGGGGCAAGGAGGTGGAGCTGGGATTTAAGGAGAGGGGTGGGGATGGCGTTCAGGGCCCAGGTGGTGAGCTTCATGGAGGATATAGTATTGAAGACAGAGGAGGGGGTGACAGGTTCAAAGGTGTGGAAGAAGGGATCGGTAGTCGTCGGAGTGTGGGGGTTGTTTAGGGAGGGGGTGGAAGTTGGGAGGACAGTGGCAGGTGAGCGGATTCCCTCGATTTTAGACTCGAGGAAGTCCAGCATTTCCTCGCAGTGGGAAACGCAGTGGATCGACTGATCCACCATCGACAGCCGTACTTTCAGCCTTTCTGCTCACAACTTTCTGGAACTCCAGCCCAGAGTCCCTCTGACTCCCTCCTTCCCTCTAACGCCCTCCCTCCCTCCCTCCCCTCCCTCCGATTCCCTCCCATCCCCTCTTATCGGTCATCTTCCACCCCACCCCAGTCAGTAAGTCAGCTCTCACTCCCAGCTTGGGTGCCCAGTTGAATGCTTTGAGACGTCCATCCGACCTGAAAGGCCCTATATAATAGGGCGCTCCCATAGCGAAGTAGTTAGCGCACTCGCTTAGCAAGCGAGAGGACCCGGGTTCGATTCCCGGGCGGGGCAAAACCTTAGGCAAATTTCCTTGACCCACATGCCTCTAGCGGTAAATAGGTACCTGGTTCCCAGTCGATGGGGGTAATAATCCCTCCCCCCAAAAATTAATAAAAATGCGTTCACGCAATCCACGGTTGTGGGTTTCGCCCACAAAGCACACTGTCAATTTGTAATGCAGTATATCCCGTTAAGCGCTTTGAGATGTCTCGTCATCAAATGCAAGGATTATTATTATTATAAGCGTAAGTTGCATTCGTTCTGCGCTGAGCAAGCAGTCAGCCCGTCCTGTCACTGATGCGCATTGCCTGTTGCGCGCAGACACAGGGCGAACATGTAGAACGTCGACCGACGACCAACAAGTTATTAATAATAGTAACAAGCACAGTCACTACATTCCACAGTAAATTCAGTGAAGCACTTCGGGACGCTCTCCTGACTTGAAAGGGGTCGCAGCAACTGCAAAGGATATGATGATAATAATCCTTGCATTTGATGCATCGCTTTCTCACAGCTTCGAGACCTCTCAAAGCGCTTCACACAATAGACTGTAATGTGGATTGACTGTATACTTTGTGGGCGAAACCCGGCAGCCGAATGCGCACAGCAGCGTCCCCACGAGCGGTCGTGGATCGAGCGCCCAAAATATTATTGATGTATTTACTTAGAAACATCCCCAAACATTCCACGCAGGGTTTGTCATGAACTTAAGGCAAAGCTCTGCTGCTGTGCCGAGCTATTATTAATCAGGTTATACATACACGTGCGAACCCATAATTGGTTTCTCGTGAACATTAATTGCATTTTACTGTGAAATTGCCATGTGCCCATCTGACAGTGCAACATCCACTGCTATTTTCTCAGTCCGTTTCCTGATTCTAACCCACAAAATGTACGGTCAATTCACTTTACAGGGTATCCTGTGAAGCACTTTGAGACGTCTCGAAGACGCGATGAGCCGTGATATCAAATGCAAGGATTATTATTATTATTATTATTATATTCACGGATAACAAAATCCCATAGGTGCACATTGCAACATGAGCTGAGCCTAACAATAGCTGGGGGCATTAATCTATGTACGTTTAGTATGCATATTTAATATTTAATATTTTCTATGTGCACTTTGTTGGCACATATTTTATTTCTCTACTGCAATAAAACAAAGGTAACAATCCCACTCCCCCCCACCCCCCCCACAAAAAAAGCACAGCTTACAATATTATTCTCATTATTATTATTATTGTTGTTGTTATTATTATTATACCATTAAATACATCATCAAAGCAGCAACATTTAATAAGCAAATTCAGGTGGAAAAGAGGGATGGTAGTCAGTCCATTGGAGGCTTTTTTCCATTAAAATAAAACACCGGGAGCATATCACTAGCAATGCAATGGAACTCCAGCAATGCTGATCTCTAACCAATTTTTTTGTTCCTTTTATTTAGAGTTGCGGCCAAATTAAACAAGCATTCAGGGTGTTAACTGAAAACCCTCCCTTCAACAAGAGACATGCAAAGCGGGCTGTTTCGATGACACACCGATGCTCATTCCAACCTTCTGTTTAATAATAATAATGATTAATAATCCTCGCATTTGACACAGCGCCTTATCACGCCATTGAGACGTCGCAGAGTGCGTGGGTAGTCATTAGCACCTCCTGCCGCGTTTCGCCCGCAAAATAAACAGTCAATTCACTTTACAGTATGTCTTGTGAAGCGCTTTGAGACGTCTCGAAGATGTGATAAGGCGCTGTATCAAATGCAAGGACTAGTATTGTTATTATTAATTGATATTTGTCTACAGAAGACTCTCAGAACGGTTGCTGCTGTGTTGCCCCCACCTCTCCCCCCTCCTCCCCACACCACTGGCCCCCAAGCGCACATTAACTTTAACATGGTTAATCGCCATGTAATTTGTTGATTAAGATTCCATCCATCCAGCCAGGTGAGAGATCAAGCAAGTTTCCGTACTCCACACGCCTCTGTTTATTTAGCGGTAAGTAGGAATCCACTTGTCAGTTGATCGGCAGATCGCTCTCTGGGGCTAATCGACCCATCAAAAAATAAACAAATGGATAAATATTTTGCTCGCCCAATCCACGGCTGTTTGTGAGACGCTGCTGTGGGCAATGGGCTTCCGCGTTTCACCCACAAAATACCCAGTCGTTCCACTTTGCAGCATATCCTGCGAAGCGCTTTGAGACGTCTCGAAGACGTGCTGAGGCGCTGCCCCAAACACAAGGATTGTTATCAATGTTATTGGTACCTGAGTCAGCCCAGAAGATCAATGCTGGTAGCGACAGGGTTAAATTTATCTCAGTCACTCGCTTGTGCCTGGAATCCATCCCATGGGTATCCCCATGCACAGCGAGTGTGTGTGTGGGTGAGGGGGGGGGGGATGAGGTGGGGAGAGAGAGGGAGGGAATTAAAAAAAAGTAGCAAGCATTCAATAGAGTGACAACCCAGTAGATTATAGCAGTGGATTGACTTGCGATCAATAGAAAGGCATCCCAGTCACTGCAGAGATAACCCGACCTCCAGAATACTAATTAAAGAAATCAGTTGCACTGCCCTTTGCGTTTCACTAGTAACCCGGTCTTTGCTCTTCAGATGAAACAAAGCATCGCAGTCTGAAGCTCCTTCTGGTTAAAGCCTCAGCTGTGTGTGGTTAAAATAAAATAGCAAGAGTAGTATGTTGCGCGGAGCAAGTCGCTTTGAATGAACGCACCTTACCTTCTCCTGCATCCACCTCGAGCTCCCAGTTCTCTCTCTCTCCGTCCAGAAAAAAATACACCTCCTCTCCGTTCGCCTTACAGCAGCAATAAGAGACGATAGGCTCGTGAAATGCACAGCGATAGGTTCTCTCTATCGTCCACTTTAAGTCGGGTGCGAAACACTGAGGCTCAGTCCACTGACAACTTCGCAGGCGGAGATTGAGCTGAAGGCTAGCGCTACACTACACTACACCACAGCACAGCACAGCACAGACCAGACAGGCGGACAGGCAGAGCACACACAGAATTGCAGCACAAGTGAACACGCTTCCTATAGTCGTCTCAGCCCGATCGCACGACAACACAACACTTCATCGGGGACACGACTCTTTTCGGAAAGGAGGGCTGAGACTTTTTGTACCAGCCTCAAACCACACACACACACACACACGCACGCACACACACACACACACACACACACACCACAGCTCATAAAACGGGGAACCAAACAAGTCTATCCGACAGCACATGTACAATCAAATTCCTTTAGAGAGAGAGAGAGAGCCAAAAAAAAATCAACTAAAGGGGGGAGCTTTGAGGAGGGATCGCAGTCAATCTGTCTTTCACAGAGGCGAGGTGGGGGTGGGGGGGGGGCGGGGTGGGGGTATTTGCATTTGAAAGCTTCTTTGCCTCTGGGAAAGAAAATGGAAAGGTTTCAACCCCCCCCCCCCACCCCCCACCCTTCTCCCCCCGAAGAAGAAGATGTCAAAGACCAAATGATCAATTGAGTTCCAGAGGCATGTGCGCAGCAAGTCACAAAGCGGAGGAAATTTACAGTTCGCCTTCTGTGGAACTTTACTCTACTCTTTTTCTGTCTGCCTTTGAGGGGGGGTTACAGGGGAGGGGAAGAGAGCGAGGGGAGAGATGTGGGGGGCGGGGGGCGGTGGGAGACGGGGGCAAAGTTACTGTTTGAATCTTCTGAGGCCGTAAAAAAAAAACCTGCTGCTCTCTCTCGTACAATGGTACTAATGATATTCCCTCCAAAACCCAAAACAATAATAAATTGGTCATTTTCAACCCACGACTGTTTGTGGGACATTGCTGTGCGCAATTGGCTGCCGCGTTCGCCCACAAATGTACAGTCAATTCACTTTGCAGTGTGTTCTGTGAAGCGCTTTGGGACGTCCTCCCGACGTGAAAAGCGCTATATCAAATGCGAGGATTATTATTATTATTATTAATGGTACTCAACTGGCTTCGCTGTTAAGAGCTCACCACTGCGAGTGTGTGTGTGAATCCATGTGCGAGTGTGTGTGAGTGTGTGTGTGTGTGTGAAGCCACTGGCGAGTATACATGTGTGTGAGTGCGAGTGTGTGTGGGTGTGTGTATGCGTGTGTGAATCCGTGTGCGAGTGTGTGTGTGTGTGCGAGTTTGAGTGTGCGAGTGTGAATCTATGTGCGAGTGTGTGTGTGGGTGTGTGTGTGAGCGTGAGCGTGGGTTTGTGCATGCGTGCGTATGTGTCTGTATGGTATGCGTGCGTCCATGTATGCGCGCCTGGGTGAGAGCGTGTGTGTGCTCGCGTATGAGTGTCTGTGCATGTGTGTGTACGCCTGAGTGTGCCTGAGTGTGTGTGTGTGAATGCGCATGAGTGTGCATGCTCGTGCGTGTGTAAGTGTGCTTGCGTGTGCTTAGGTGTGTGTGCGCGTGCGTGTGTGTGTGTGCAAGTGTGTGTGTTTGTGCGTCTGGGTGAGGGTGTGCTTGCGTATACATGTGTGTGCACCTACCGATTCGTGCGCGCGCGTGTGTGTGTGTGTTGGCGCGTGTGCGCGCTTTACACCCAGAAAGGGAAGCGTTAACTCGCTCTCTTTATGCACACGGATAAAAGGGGAAGAATCTGGAGCACGAACACTTCTCAGGAGCAACATTTCTGCGGACGGATCGGTAGTGATTTGACTGATAATCAAAGATACGAGCCAAGCTTCGGCGGTTCCATTTAAAGGGATCTTGATCTCTCCGAACCTACTGCCGGAGCGATGATACATCTCGCACAAAGCTTCGAGGCTCAGGAACCTGCTCCCGCTGCGCTCACGTCTTAGCGGGAGCTCCTCTTCGTAACAATGCAGTCCTGAGCTTAACGGTCCGAGCGCTCGCCTCGCGGGCGAGAGGACCTCGGCTTCGATTCCCGACCTGGCGAAACGTTGGGGCAAGGTCCCCACTCCGCTCTGTTTACCGAGCAGTAAGGTAGGAACCCAGTTGTTGGTTGATCGGCGGATCGATTTCCAGGAGTAATAATACTCCCCCTCCTCCTCTCCCCCCTCACTCCGCGACACTGCGGTGCGCAACTGGCTGCCGCGTTTCGCCCACAACGCGCCCAGTCGCAATATTCTCCGTGAAGCGCTTCGAGACGTCTCAACGGCCTGACGAGGCGGGACCCTGCTTCGTTGTCAGGGTGCTCGGAGGAGACGGTACACCCAGGTCCCGTCTACCCGTTCAGGCGGACGTTGAGGATCCCACGGCTCTGCTCGAAAAGAGGACGAAGGGCATTTCTCTCTGCCCGGTGTCCTGACCAACAATCCCCCCACTCCCCCCACCCCACCCCCCCCCCCCCCCCCGCCACATCACAGCAGTTTCCAGGACATCGCTGTGCGCGAACTGATCATTCTCCAACGAAATACACAGTCACTGCGTTCACAGTAAATCAAATGCAAGTACTATTGTAATTCAACAACGACTTTTTACGGCGTCCTTCACACGGGGTAGTGTTCCAGAGCGCTCGACAGTGCTGGAGCACGACACTGAGCTGGGGGGGGGGGGGGGGAGGTAACCACAGACACACTCGAAGAGAAAGGTTCGCAGTCATGATGTCAAAGACGGTAGGGAGGAGGCAAAGCGGAGGGATTGGGTTCCGAAGATTTGGGGCGTAACGATGATGATGGAGCGGAGGGGACGAGGGGCAAACAGGGCACTTGGAGGGAGCCAGCTGAGCGGAGGCAGGGAGTGGCGGAGTAGGGGAGAGTGCGGGTCGGAGGGTAGGGAGGTGCCAGGGAGCCGAGGGTTTGTGAACGACCACCAGCGTTGGCTGATTATTCCCTGCCCACCCCCCACCAACCCCCCACTTCCTACAGGAAATCAGGAGGAACATTCTCTTCCCAGTGCAGGGAAGACAGTAAGCCCAGTCACATCGCCACAGACGCTGTGTAATTTTCACATCCTTCAGATCAGGATGGACACTGAATTCACTCCATACATCAATGGAGCCAACCGTGGTCTCCAACCCCATCCCAGTTAACTGTTCACTTGTGTGGGTCATGAATGATTCTTTTTGTCAGCCTGACTCAACCGCCTCCGAGTCAGGAGGTTATGAGTTCAAGCCCCACGTCGGGACTTTGAACTAACAGTAAAAGGCTCCAGTCAGAACAGCTGCGTTGTCAGAGGTGGCGTCCTTCGGATGAGACATTAAACCGAGGTCCGGTCTGCCTGTTCAGGTGGACCTTAAAGATCCCCATGGCGCTATTCGAAAAGAGAAGGGAGTTCCTCTCTCTCTCTCTCTCTCTCTCCTGGTGTCCTGGCCAACAATCCCCCCCCAATAAAATTGGCCGCTCGCTTCACAGCTGTGTGCGAGACACCGCTGTGCGCAACTTGACCATTCGCCAACAAAATACACAGTCACTACGCTTCACAGTGAATCCCGTGCGAGGGCTTTCGGACGTCCTGCCGATGTGAAAAGTGCTTTCGCAAACGTAAGGACTATTATTATTTTTATAATAACTCGTTTAAAAAGCTTCCATTGCCTGTCAGCGTCAGGAAATCCAGCTTGCCATCCTTTTCTCTTTGACCGAGCCTTCAGCTCCCCTCTCAACTCTCTACCCCTTCCTCGCCCCCTCCCTTCCCTCCCCTCACCCTGACCATTTCCCCCCTCCTCGCTCCCTCCCTTCCCTCCCCTCACCCTGACCATTTCCCCCCTCCTCGCTCCCTCCCTTCCCTCCCCTCACCCTGACCATTTCCCCCCTGCTCGGGTCATGACCCAACTGTGCAGCGCCTTGGGACGTCCTCCTGACGTGAAAGGCGCTTTATAAATGGAATCTTGTTGTTGTTGTTGTTGTAGTGACTGTGTGTTTTCTGAGAGAAAAGCGGTAGCCAATTGCGCGCAGCAATGTCCCACAAACAGTCGTGGATTGAATGATCAATTTTATTTGGGGGATTGTTGGCCAGGACACCGGGAGAGAGAGAGAGAGAGAGAGGAACTCCCTTCGCTTTTCGAACAGTGCCACGGGATCTTTATCATCCACCTGAACAGGCAGACGGGACCTCGGTTTAACGTCTAATCCAAAGGACGGCACCTCTGACAATGCAACACCCCCACCCCAGCGCTGCATTGGAGCATCAGCTTAGACTGTGTGAGTCCACATCCCAACGTGGGGCTCAAACCCACAGCCGTCGTCGTGGGGCTCCAGTACAGAAGGAGCCGTTAATCCAGTGGAATGAGTTTAGCTCCAAAGGCTAAAGTGGCTTCACCTCGGAGCAGAGAGAGTTTTGTTGTGTCGAAAAAAAAAAAAAAAAAGTGAAAGTTTTAATGAGAGGCTTTTTACCAAACGGAAATAGCCGGGAGGAGAGGACGGTGTGGGTTAAAATTAAACGAGTCGGTGTTAAGCAATTAAGAGGCATTTGTGTAGATTTAAGTGAAACGAGGCACAGTTTTTCTGAGACCGTGGGCACTAATGCACCATAAAAGCCTACATTTCCTAAAATGCCTGTTATCTAATCGAGGGCCTTAATGAAAGTTCCAGTGTAGCTTTACATCGGGGCGGAGGGACCTCCTGCTTTTATCGTCTCTCTGTCGCTCACTCCACAGCCACAGCAAAGACAATGGAACAGTTCAAGATTAGCCTAAAAGGTTCTCGAAATATTTCAAACACCGCAGAGGAACGAATCTTTGTACGACTACATAGGGGCCAAATTAAACAGAATCGGCTCAGTGTGCGTCAGTCCGGCTCAGTGTGTGTCATTCTAGGGTTCTCAACCCTTGGCCTTTGCTAACCTGGGCCTAATATTCTTTGGAATTAGGTAAGCAGGATGTCGCATTCTGTGGTGGAGACAGGTAAAGGTGGCGTATGTGTGGAGCTCACAGTCTGTTTTTGATCCTCTATGATGATTCC